TAAGGATGCGAGAACACACTATTTTTCTGAACTCATTACTACACATAAACACAATCCCAGGTTTCTGTTTAAGACTGTGGATCAGCTGGTAAACCCAACCCCTCCTTGTGCCTCAGCTGGAAGTAATGATGACTGTGAATTGTTTTTATCTTATTTTACCAATAAGGTGGTGTCAATCAGAGCCTCTATTACCCCCGTGGCCTCTTACTCAGAGGTGCTCACCAGCAACAACAGAGTTTTAACCAGTTTTATCCCATCGACTTGTCTGAGCTTTTAAAAATAGTATCACAAATGAGAGTGTCCTCCAGCCCACTTGATATAATACCTACAAAATTTTTACTGAAATAATAGACTCTGTTGGGCCCCATTTGATCTCTGTTTTCAGCAGCTCCCTATCTACTGGTTGTGTCCCTGATTATTTTAAAACGGCTTGCGTGAACCCACTTTTAAAGAAACCTGGTTTAGATCCCTCCCTCCCACATAATTTTAGACCAATTTCAAAACTGCCTTTTATTGCAAAGATTCTAGAAAGAATTGTGTCCAAACAGCTGCTCACTGTACTGGAAAATAACAAATTATTTGAAAAGTTTCAGTCTGGTTTTAGGAAGTACCACAGCACTGAGACTGCCCTGCTTAAAGTCACCAATGACCTTTTAATGTCTGCTGATGAAGGTATGTGCTCAGTCCTTGTACTCCTGGACCTTAGCGCTGCTTTTGACACCATTGATCACAACATCATGTTAGACAGACTGAGGCACTGGGTGGGGATCTCTGGTACTGCCCTAGAATGGTTTTCAGAAAAGTTTTGTGTGTCTGTAAACAACTATGTCTCTTTGTTCTGTCCAGTTAAATATGGTGTGCCTCAGGGGTCGGTTTTAGGACCCATTTTGTTTTCCTTGTATCTGCTCCCCTTGGACATATTATCCATAAACATGGCATTTCTTTTCATATTTATGCTGATGACACACAAATATACTTGCCAGTCAGATCCACAGACCCTGGAATGCAAAGTTCACTTAATAACTGCCTTTGTGAAGTTAAAAAATGGATGTCAAATAATTTTCTCCAGCTGAACTCAGACAAAACAGAAATCCTGGTCATCGGGTCTCAGCAGATGGCAAATCAAATACTGCCATCTGCTGGTTCCCTAGTAAATCACATTAAGCCTGTGGCAAAGAACCTTGGTGTTTGGTTTGATAGTAATTTAAATTTTGAGAAGCACACCACAAAGCTTGTTCAAAAATGTTTTTATCAACTTAGAAATATAGCAAAAATTACACATTACTCCTATTTTAGCTTCATTACACTGGCTCCCAGTATGTTTTAGAATTGACTTTAAAATTCTATTGATCACTTTTAAAGCTCTTCATGGCCTCTCGCCTTGTTATATTTCTGACCTTTTAGTCCCATACGCACCTTGAGATCCTCGGGCAGAGGTCTGTTGTCTGTTCCAGAGTCTCGACTGAAAACTAAAGGGGACAGAGCGTTTGCTGTCAGGGCCCCGAGGCTCTGGAACAGCCTGCCCGAGGAAATCAGGTCGGCTGAATCAGTGAACTCTTTTCCCTGTGTGAGCTGTTGAGTGTTGTGTCCCTTCTTAAAACATACTTTTATAGGAGAGCCTTTCCCGATCTTATTTGACTTTATGTTATCCCTTTTATTTTATTGTATTTCACTAATTTTATATTAATTTTTCATTCTCGTTTGTTTTTTTGTTTTTTTTTATTATTCTTTACACTTGTTAAAGCACTTTGTAACTTGTTTTTGAAAAGTGCTCTACAAATAAGGATTATTAAAATTATTATTATTATATTACATCTTATCCAACAGAGAGAGTAATCAAAGAGTTAAAGAAAGTCACCTCCATGTTTGTGCCATCTGAATTTCCTCTGGTCTGCAAACCTGTGAAACAGACAAAAGAAAAGTATTTTTCTCTATTATAAATGATGAAACACACCAACAAAACCAAAACTTCCTGTGCACCTTCCTCATTTCTTTAACGTGTCTTTCTTGATCATTACATTTTGTGGGTGTGTGAGCTCAGGGACAGTCTGTTCCTCAGATTTGTTCCAGAGAATTACATGAGCAGGGCCACACACAGTCAAACTACAGTATGCATTGATGCAAGTCTTTAAAACTTTGATATGAGTGTCCTGACTGAAATGTCATTTTTGATGAGAAATGGGAAGTTTCACTTGTTGTTGTTGCTGTGTAAGAGTTTACTGTTGCCTCACCTTTAGGTTTGGTGTTCCTCTGAATACAGATTATCATCAGTGTCAGCCCTGAGAGGATGACGATGATGACAGGAATCAGAACAGCATACAGCAGCATGGAGGTGGAGGTGGAGGCCCAACCTGTGGTGGAGGTTAAAGAGAAGAACAGGTTTGTTTTCAAGATGTGGGACCTGAGACCCTGTTCACGCAGTGCTGTCAAATTAATAGTAACACCTGAATAACTTATTTTAAAGAAAATATGCTAAATCTAAAAACAAAAGACTATAGTTTATATAAATACAAACACATTTACATATTTAAGTTCTGTGGAAAAATCTTTTGTTGGAGAACTTCATTCCTTAAAGAGAAGAATCTTCTGGAACAAATTGAGTTCTTTTCATTCGGTAGGTCAAAGTTTTCAGATCTCATCGAGGTGCACAAAAGCATCAGATCACAATTAGGTATTTAATTTTCTCCTACAGTAGCATTTTACAATGTTTATGGAAAATACTGATCTCCAATAAAATCATATAACAGGACATGACATAGTTCAAGACAACGATCTAGCCACTGTTCTAAATCAGTACTGAAGGTGGGCTGTATGTAACTGGGGTGGTGATGGTGTGGGAGACCTGGGTTCAGTTCCCACTGTGAGGCATCCACCATTGTGTCCCTGAGCAAGACACTTAACTCCTAGTTGCTCCAGAGGCGTGTGACCTCTGACATGTATAGCAATTGTAAGTCGCTTTGGATAAAAGCGTCAGCTAAATGAATAAATGTATTGTAAAGTAACTGCATGCAACCTTTATATTGTAACCACTATTGAGAGCCAACATCCCACCGATTAAGGGAGCTTTGGTTTCACTAGCTTTCATTCCACAAAGTATTTCCTCAGAGTTTTCTCTGATGGTTTCTCTGGAAAGATAAAAGTTGAGAGGGAAAGACAGGACTCACGATTGGTCGGTTGTATAAATCTGGAATAACTGAAGTGTGCTGTTAGAAATAAATCTAGATTAAGCTGACATGTGATTTGTGTTTGATGGAGCCATGTCTTGCAATACAGCTTTGTTAGGTGCTGGAAGGTCAATTAGATGCCAATGCTTTCAGTCACTGACTTTCATCTATCAAACAGTGTGGGTGTACCTGCTGTTGCTGTTGTCTGCTGCTGGTCAGTCTGAGAGCTTAAACTCTGTGTTGCTGGTGTGGAGCCTGATGGGACTGCTAACCCTTTACATTAACATTGGATTTAAAAATAAGGGAAAGAATCAGGCACCTGGCCCTGGGGCGTGTCACTGATCTAACACATTCACATAAAGGTACACAGAGTGAATCCTAAAATGACTACCAGGCAACCACTTGCTTTAAAATATCAGTGCAACAACAACTTATTCCTACATTAAGTAAGTGACAACAATTAGGTGGTCAGAATGTGATATCTGGTTGAAAGGGAAATGCTGTGAACATCCCTGCATGGTATAAATTAAAAGACAAAAGGGCCTCACAGAGCTCTGTGCTAACCTTTTTTCTATGGAGCACATGTGCTCCTAAATGAAAACTGGGCTTTAAATATTGTCGAAGCTTTTTAAAACATTGAAACAGATTTCCTGAAAATTGAAAAAAGCCTTTACAACATGGACACAGCTGCTTAAAACACTGAGCACTCAGTGACAAAGGCTACAAAGCTAACATAGCTAACACTGTGAAGATAACGTCGCTAATTAAAAACTCATTCTTGTTTCACACGAGAACTGAACGCCGGGCTCCTTGGTGAAAAGCAACAGAAGCACAGAGGGAGAATTGTAAACGAGAGAAGGTAAAACAAATTGACAGGTATGGGTAGAGGAGGTTTTGGTTTTGAAGTGGTTGGAGCTGTGAACAACAAAAACATGCAGATACATTTAAAATATTGATTAGAGAAATGGGTGTACAGTCTGTTTCTGTTTTAAATTGACATTTCTCAGAGTTCACGGTGATGGGAATTTAAAACATCATCAGCTGTCAGTGAAAACTTTCTTCAGACTGCAGAGACATGAACAAACATTTTCATTCTACTTCAGTGGAAACTCACCATCTGTGACAATGATCTCAAACCCCCGGTAGGAATCTGGTGATAAACGTCTTTCCAGACCACACCTGTACCGTCCTGAGTCAGACTTGTCAGCTGTGTGATGCTCACATACACAGATACATCTGTCAGAGATCGTTGTGTATATCTGATGCTGTATCTGCCTCTCTCAGCTGTGTAACCAGTTGTTTCAACAAGAATGTCTTTCTCTTCACATTCTTCCTTGCAGAAGTACCCCCTTCCAGAGAAGTAAAGGAGCATCCAACTACAATATTTCCTCCAGCTCTTGTATAGAGGGATTGTCTTCAGGAGGACTTCCATCCAGCAGTGCTGTTGAAAAGATGAACAATCAATAGTTACTATCTGTACTTAACATGATGCAGTCTGATCACAATAATCACAGTTTCAAATGTGATCCACAGTTACACTGGGAGCTGCCCTGTTCTAAATTATTATCACTTGGAACAATAAGTTGAATGTGTGGTACACTAATATTCAAATTAACGTGTGAGTGTGTGTCTTTATCAGCCTGTTGGTGTTAAATGAGAATCAACCAGTGAACAGTGAAGCTTTTCTTCAGACAGGAAAGAAACATTTTCATGACTTTTAGTAGAAACTCACCATCTACAACAATGATTTCAAACGTAATGTTTGATCCACCCAGACCACATCTGTACAGTCCTGAGTCAGACTTGGTCAGCTGTGTGATGCTCACGAAAACATTTCCCCCCCCATCATATCTGATGCTGTATCTGCCTCTCTGATCTCTGACACCAGTTGTGTGAATGAGGATGTCCTCTGGTTTACATTCTCTCTTGCAAAAGAACATCGAGGTTCCATATGAAGAAAAGGGGCATCTAACTTCGACATCTCCTCCTTCAGTTCCTGTATAGACAGATGGGATCTGGGCATTGGTGAGACCAGTGTTTCCATCCTGCAGAGCTGTTGAAAAGATGAACAACAATAGTTACTGTCTGAACTTCCTGTAAGATGCTGCAGTCTGATCACAACATTTGCTGCTTCACGTCACACTGGGAGCTGCCCAGTTCAACCAGTCTGTGGCTGAGGATCACAGACTGGCACTGCAGGTGAATGTTACTGTTTTGTTTTTCCTGTACTTCTTTTAGCCATCATCTGTTATTCTTCCCTGTATAAATAAAGGTTTCAATAAATGAAATGTAAATTATAAAAAGTAACTGATTCTTTTTTTCTCTCTTCTTCTTTCTTTCTTCCACAGTGAGCCATAAAAAAGGACTATTTGAACAATAATGAACCAGGTTTTCACGTCATTAATAACATTCATTTAGAAATGAATATTAATCTCTACCAAAGTGGAAAACTGTATCAGAGTATACAGCAGAACAAACAGTAACAGAGCTCCAACAAAACACTATGAAATACTGAAATCAGCATTAAAAAGGAGAACCAGACAAAATGTGAACATAAATATTGTAGACTAAAACTTTCAGGTCAGTTTTTAAGCCACAAACCACAAGAGTTCAGTGAGACTTTCAACATTCTGTAACTCTTTCTTCCCGTTTAATCAGAATACAGAACTGACTGACTGTATTTACATCAGAGCTTTAGCAGGATTTGTTAGATGTGTAAACAGTGATCAGTAGGTTATGAAAAATTATTTAATGTGATGTAAATACATTTTTATTTATCCAATTCTTAAATCCATGCAGATTTCTTTTGTTCCTGTTTGTGTGATATCTTTCTGTAAAATCTACTTCATACAGAAGTTATATCAAATCTTGTGGAGCTACAACAAAGTCCACTAACAGTCAGGCTGAAGCAACAGAACACACAAACTCTGTCACCATAAAAATACAGCAACAAGCAACAAAACTGTACTTTGTGACCTTTGAAATCAAGTAGAGCTGCAACAATTAATCACTTAATGGCAACTATTCTTTTTTGCGATTTTACAGGTCAAAATGTCAAACAGTTGCTGGTTCCAGCTTCTCAGATGTTGGGATTCAACTCTCTTCTAACCGTGTAAGATTATGCCCTTCATTTTCCTTCCTTATGTGCAGTTCATTTTAAGGAAGTTAACTAAAGAACTATTACTGGACTATATTTTAAAGGATATGTTCTATTCTCATGAGCTCATATGTACGTTGAACGAGCTTCTCAAAGAGATGGAGGTAAAATCCACATTCTATGTGAGGACTGTTTTAGGACAGACCTGAACATCCATTAAAGTGCCTCATACCTGACTCTGATCATCATATTTAACTCATGAGAATAAATAAAAAAAAATACATAACAAGAGAGAGAGACAGAAATCCAAAGTGAATACTCACAGAGGAAGAAGAAGCAGATCAAAGTGTGACGGACTTTCATGTTGAGGCTCTGATGGTTTACTGCTGCCTCTCTGACTTCTTCACTGACAAACCAGGAACTTCTAACTTCTTTAAATGATATAGTCCCTCCTCCAAACACTAACTATGCTAACTCTTGCTAGTGAATACGACTGAACCTTGGGTGAATCATTCATCAGCTGGGGACAGTTTGTTCAAATCAAATTATTTTGGTACAGCTATTCATCACTCTGGTCCTTTATATTGTAAACACTATAGAGAGCCAACATCCCACCGATTAAGGGAGCTTTTGTTTCACTAGCTTTCATTCCACAAAGTATTTCCTCAGAGTTTTCTCTGATGGTTTCTCTGGAAAGATAAAAGTTGAGAGGGAAAGACAGGACTCACGATTGGTCGGTCTGGGAGCTGCCCAGTTCTAAATTATTATCACTTGGAACAATAAGTTGAATGTGTGGTACACTAATATTCAAATTATCATGTGAGTGTGTGTCTTTATCAGCCTGTTGGTGTTAAATGAGAATCAACCAGTGAACAGTGAAGCTTTTCTTCAGACAGGAAAGAAACATTTTCATGACTTTTAGTAGAAACTCACCATCTACAACAATGATTTCAAATGTAATGTTTGATCCACCCAGACCACATCTGTACAGTCCTGAGTCAGACTTGGTCAGCTGTGTGATGCTCACGACAACATTTTCCCCTCCTTCATATGTGATGCTGTATCTGCCTCTCTGATCTCTGACACCAGTTGTTTTAATGAGGATGTCCTCTGGTTTACATTCTCTCTTGCAAAAGAACATCGAGGTTCCATATGAAGAAAAGGAGCATGTAACCGTGATATCTCCTCCTTCAGTTCCTGTATGGACAGATGTGATCTGGGCATTGGTGAGACCAGTGTTTCCATCCTGCAGAGCTGTTGAAAAGATGAACAACAATAGTTACT